AAAAAAAAAAAAAAAAAAACAAAAAACATGGAACTTAAATCTGGAAAACATCAAACTAACATCTATTCAGATTACAGTGCAATTAAGTTAGAAATAAGAAAGCAAAAGAAAAGCTAATGATGTATATTTGAATCTGTAAATATGCTACTGGCAGATATGGATAGATGGCTCAGCAATTAGGAGCACCTTCTGGTCTTGCAGAAGACTTGATTTGATTCCCAGTATCTATATAGAGATTCAAGACCACCTGTAACTCCAGTTTCACAGGATCTGAAGTCCTTTTCTAGCATCCACAGGCATTAAATATGCACACAGTGTGCATACATACATGCATGCAAACACACACATAAGTTAAAAACACATTTTTCAGATAAATGCTTATGTCTCTCCTCAACAAATTAATTAACTATTCAGAAGTCTCTTTGTCTCATTTAGTATTCCACAAATATTTCTGACAATACAACATTGTTTAATAAAAATGGGTCTACACAAAATCTACTGTCATGGGTAAAAGGAAGAGTATTATATCTACTTTACATAGCCAACTCCAAGCCAGCCAAGACTACACAGCAAGAGCTTGTCTCCAAAGTAAAAAAGTACTAACAGTAAAATACTATTAACTAAATGAGAGCACCCAACAGAGACCTTGTAGGACTTCCAGAGGCAAAAATAAACTGAAATATGGTAACTTATTAATATAGTATTTTCAAGGGATAATGGAAATATTTAAAGCTTTTCACTCACAAGTTTTTCTTTCTCCAGTTTTTGCAGTAAACACTCCATGTTACTTCCAATTCTTGTCTTTTCGACAACTTCATAAAGGCTACAATACATCCCATTCTTTAAAACTGATACAAAGAAAAAATACACAGTAAAATATCAAATCAGGTCTGCTTCTTGCATATTTTAGTAAAATGAAATTACTTTACCTTCATTAGGACCCAAGTATGTGTCTTTATAAAGCAATGCAGGAGGAATTTTCTGTTTCAAACAATCAATACTCATAACTGTTTCAACATCTAACTTCTCAGGACTGAAAGAAAATATAAGAGTATGTTTGGCATACCTGCACTTTTAACTCTAGCAATGTTATCAGACACATTGAAATATACTTAATGAGGGTGGGGGCTGGAGATGCAGCTCAGTTGGTTCAGTGCTTGCCTAGCACACAGAAGGCCCTGAGCTTAATCTCCAGTATCATATAAACCAGGTGTGGTGGCACATCCCTGTAATGCCAGCATTTGGGAGGTGGAGAAGGCAGGAGGAATCACAGGTTAAAGGTTATCCTCTGCTACACAGTGAATTTGCAACCAGATGCTACATTAGACTTTACCTCAAGGTCAACAAAATAAAATATACCTGATGGGATAAATTTATTAATAGTTTAACCCTCATTCTAAAGAGGACCTGATATAGAAAGCTCAGGTATCTACACTCAGGTAAGTAGCAAATGGCAATATCGCCAACCTTACATCCTTAATCAGAAGCTAATCCTTCATGCCAACTTTACTAAGGAAAAGAATAGATAGTTGTCATTCACAGTTACAGTATGAGCTGGCATAGCTCTTCTTTTCTTTTAGAGATGCTGAGGATCAAACCCAAGGGTTGTACAGCAGGCAAGCATTCTACCACTGACCTATATCTTCAAGCATTACACTATCTTCTGCATATTAACAATCAACTTTTAATTCTAATATATGTCATATGAATCATAAACTATAAACTACACACACACACACACACACACACACACACACACACACACACACACACACACAAACTTACCACATCAAAGCTCTTTTCAACAAAGAAATGTTTAACCACCACCACCCCCTTTCTTTGTTTTGAAGCAAGTTGTGCTATGGTTTGCATCACAGGTCTAGAACTCACAATGCAGCCAAGAGTACCTCTGAACTCAAGATCCTCTGCTTGAGCCTCCCACGTACTGAGATTATAAGTATGTTCCACCATATGTAGCTAAAATTGGTCAACTTTTAAGTCTATTATATACAAACTGGTAAATATATCTAAGTAGAATAAAATTTAAACTCATCTTTCAGACTTAAAACCACTCAGGATAGACTATCCACCTGACTAGTCATCTTCAAAATAGAGAACCAGAGCTTGTTTGCCAATTAACTTCCTGAAGTTACAGAAGCAACCATTTTAGAGAAAAATTAACATTTACATTTAAGTTTTTATGGACCACAGTAAAATTTAATATTGAAAAAAATAAATAGTAAGCACGCCAGGAATGGTGGTGCATATCTATAATCCTATCACACATGAGGCTGAAGCAACAAATACTGCCTGGGATATACAGTGAATTCCAATCCAGAGTAAGGTAATTTCAAACAATTTTTTAAAAAGAAACAAACAAGAAACTAAAGAAGAAACTGTCTTCTTAACTGTCAATCACTATTTCCTTTTTAATTTTTAAGTTGTCATTATGCTTTGTTCTCATTTACTCTCCTTCCCCATGACCCTCCCTCAGCCCCTCCCCACTATTTTATTTTAATGTAATATACTTACAGCTTGACAGGCAAAAAGGCACGAGTGGCCGACCTCAAAGAAATATAACATAGAAGCTTTCCTTTATTCAAAAGTTGTCCTTTCCACAAGGTGTAGTTAAATTTTTCTAAACAAAAGAAACAAGAGCCCAGTTGCTTGATGGCCCAGACGGTAAATATTTTCTAGAAATGAAAAGTATCTAGAAATAAGGTTTAAATACAAAATAAACATAGAAGTGACATGCCCTTCAGGGAAAGGTTCAAAATTTTAGTTTCAGGTATCTTTTTCCCTTTAACAAAAAACCATTCCAACTTTAAAGAACATCCAATCTGTCTAAGTGCCCTCATTAGAAGCAAAACAAACAATACACTGTCCCAAAGGAGACTATATTAAACCTGGTTAATGTCTCCTCTCTTCTGTTTATTTTTTCTTGTGATAAAGAAACTTAAAAAGTAGTAGTTTTAAATTTTCTTTATCAAAATTAAAAACCTCTGGTGAATATAATGCTTTTAAAGTATTCAATTGTAAAACCCATTTTTTCCCCCAATTCCAAGTGCTAGAAATTCTGGTCCACCTTCAGAAGCAGTAGCATCTTCTAAAAGGAGTCCTTATGTTTGAATGATCAAGTACTGATGCTACAACATTATAACATGACCTTCACTTGCTTTATTTCATATTTTTATTATGAAAATAAAACAAAACACTGAACTTATTAATCTTCCACTGTTTATATTTGCAACTTATGAAAGTAAAAAAAATAAGACTCTTACCTATGTTTCTATCTGCATTAAAGCTGTTAGATCTACAAATAATTTTTTAAAAAGAAAGGAAAATTATTACTGATTGGAAACAACATGAAAGTTAACATTTAGGACCCTGACATACTGTCTGTGTTTTTGTTGTTGCTGTTGTATTTTCCAGTGCTGGGGATGGAACCCATCACCTTACACATATACAGCAAGCAATTTAAACTAAACTAAAGCACCAACCTGTGAGTGCCATTTCCAACGGAACTATAGAAGAGAACAAAATTCTTCCAAGTAAGAAAAACTTATTCTTTACAAAATTTAGTAAACCTAAATCTTAGAAGTACTTACTGTTCTATTACTGTATTTGCCAAAATTTATGAGAGCTGTTTTATATTTCAAAAAGTATCCATTAGCAGACATAAGACTGTTAATACCTCTGTCGACTATATGTTGAAAATGATATAGGAAAAAATAAGAAAAAACAGCCTGTCTATATAAATTACATTCTTAGTCACTTAATAAATATTTAACTTTAAGCTCTTATTAATTACTAGGCACAATTCTAGGTAACAGAATTCGAAGTATAAACGGAACACAGTCCCTTATTTCAAACAAATGACAATCTAATGATGAAGAAAGTTAATTATCAACAAGTAGAGTTTCTTAGATGATGATGGTTTCAAGAGCTACACAGAAAAGACCAGTACAAGAGTTTAAAAGAAAAACAACAACAACAACAAACAAACCAGAGAACACCCAACGACAGGAAAGGCTAGAGGAATCCTAAGAAATAGCTATGCAATAACTGGGGAAAAGGAAGACCAGCAAACGTGGGGTCCTGAAGCTAAAGTCCTCATGGTACACTCATAGTACAGGATGGCTGTTTCATCCATCAGTGCTTGTTTGAGACAATCTAGGGGTCAACAGAAGGGATTCAAAAAAGTAGGAAAAGAGCCAAGCACTCTCAAACATTCAGGAGGAAGAGGAAGGTGGATCTCTCTAAGTTTGAGACCAGTCTGGTCTATATAGCAAGTTCTAAGACAGCCATGGCTACAGAGTTTGTACCAAAAGAAAGAAGATGCCGGGCAATGGTGGCGCATGCCTTTAATCCCAGCACTCGGGAGGCAGAGCCAGACAGATCTCTGTGAGTTCGAGGCCAGCCTGAGCTACAGAGCAAGATCCAGGACAGGCACCAAAACTACAGAGAAACCCTGTCTCGAAAAACCAAACAAAAAGAAAGGACAGACAGACACACAAACACACACATACACACAGAGAGATGGAGAGGGAGGGAAAGAAAGAAAATTAACAGTCGCTACTTTCAGGGATATGACTCATTTATAAGTGGTATGTCCTTTAAAGACCATCTATGAAAAAAATGCTACAGTAAATGTGTATGTCAGCATTCATACACATTAAGCAAAAGTGAGACACACACTCATCTCTGTATTAATGAACTAGTACTTGTCGAGGTTTTGAGAGCTTATTAATGTGGGGGAAAAAACAAAACAGAAGTGCTGTATCAGTAGGACTTGGTAGCTCATACCAGCACTCAAGAGGCCGAGGCAGGATATTCTCAATCTTAAACCTAAGCTATAGTAAACTCCAAGACAGCCTGGGCTATAGTATACAATACAACTCTATATCCAAAAAGAGTACTCCTTTTCTCAACAAGCACATTTGACTTTAAAAACCGAGAGATCACCCTAGGGGGAAAAAAAGCATCCTTAAAGATATGTATCATTTAAGATATGTGTTTTTGTTTTTGTTTTTTTAAATAGTTAGAAAAGTTACTTTAAGTGTGTTTATGAACTCAAAAAGAAAATAATTATCACCTGATTCTTAAGACTAGGAATGTCTAGGCATTCCATTAAATAGTTCATTGGTTTGGGACACAGCTTTAGAGAAACTCATCTTTTTTGGTGTTGTTTTCCAGACAGGGTTTCTTTGTGTAGCTTTGGAGCCTGTCCTGGACCTCACTCTGTAGACCAGGCTGGCCTCAACCTCACAGAGATCCGCCTGGCTCTGCCTCCCAAGTGCTGGGATTAAAGGCATGCACCATCACCGCCCGGCTTTAGAAACTCAATTTTTAAGAGTTTCTAAACAAAATTAAACAAAATTTCTGTTTGGGGAAGGCAGGAACTCACGAAAAGAAGATGGCTTCAAATTCACTGGATAGCCAAGGCTGACCTCTATGTCCTAAGTGCTGGGAGTACAGGCATATACCACAACGAGTTAAAATGTCAAAGTACACGTAAACCAAAAAGAAAAAGAAAAAGCCCCACAATTTAGCTAGGTGAATAAAAGCAAATTTTAGTTCCTGTTTCCAAAGTAATAGTCATCCTTCATACTTACCATGAACATGAAAACATCTATTTAATGTCAAAAAAGGTTGAAGAGATCAATGGAAGCTTCTGAACAATTTCTCTGTGTAAAATTGTCTTACCTCAGTGAAGACACAAACTTTGGAGTTTGTATATCATCTTTGTAAGTAAAAGACACAACTGCATATGGACAAACATGTCTTGGTCTCCGTCTTAGTTCATCAAAGCCATACTCATAAAAATAATACTAAAAATAAGAAAGCACAAAATTAACATTTCAGAATAGGCAAATAGTAGAGAAGATATATTTATTTTATTAAAAACCTTTAAGCAACTCTGGTGGCAAAGAAACTTCCTTGAGCTTATCCACTTAACCAAAACAAAAAAATTGTACTTGCTATGTATTTTATGTACCAGATCCCAGAAGTTTACTTCTGAAGCGTTGACAAAAGGAATGTGCAATTAACTTCCTAATGAAAATAAAATAAAATATAGCCTGAACTAGGTCAGCCCAGAAAAGGCAACTTGATTAAAAAAGTAAAAAATACTAAGGACAAAATTTCAACCAATATTAAGTATCATTTTTTGTGTTAGTGCAAAAGAAAACAAAACAAGAACTCAGTTGCAAAGAATGAAGCAAAGAAAGTGTGCAAAAGAAGACGACAAAAGCCCTTTCCCGCCCCATTTATGACAGTTATCATGCTGGAGTTTTCTGACTGTAGAAAACTGAGAAAGAATGCCTGAGCCTATAATCAAGTCCTTTTCTCTGGGAAATTACTGATTTCAATAATGTTATTTTTCTCAAAATACTTCCAAAACACTTTTTAAAATAAATAAATAAATAAATAAATAAATATATATATATATATATATATATATATATATATATATATAT